CCCTCGGATTAGTCTGTCATGACATTTTTCCCTGTAATTTCGTATTTTTCTGCACAGTATCTTGCTTTTATTTTAATTTTTATATAATTTCATTTAGTCTGGTACAGTATTATTCTTATTTTTATTTTATCTATGTTTATATTGTAGTATTACTATATTTAATTATATTATTATTGTATTATTGCAACAGTTGATAATGTCACATCAATACACAGTTGCTGTGGATTGATGTATGTATCTACTGCTGCTATTACACCTGAATTTCCCCACGTGGGACAATAAAGACCTATTCTATTCTATTCTAATTAATTTTATTTTGTTGGCAAGTGATGCAGTCAGAGTCCAGAGTCTGAAATAAAAGCCCCTTTCTGTCTCCTCTCTCCCTCGCCTCTCAGTAATAACATCTCTGTGAAGCAGCTGACTTGTTCAAGTGTCCCCCCATCCACACTGTAAAAGCCGTGCGGTGTTGTTTAAGAACATTATCCCCTTTTAATCCACTTTGCCTTCTGCTGCAGGCAGGACAGGAGACTGCCAGATGGAGCTGGGCGACACAAACCTCCTCAAAGCTCCTGAACCTTGACTGGACCGAGTCATGTTCCTGTGGGACAAAATCAGTTTGTTTACTCCCAGTGGACGCTGACAGGTGTTGATTTGTTGTCTGTAGATACTTCTGTTGATTTGATTGCCTTTTCTGTGTGAAGACTTTTCTTTTCATAGCCTCGGCTCAGCTATGGAGGAGCTCGACATACGACAACAGAAGCTGGACAACCAGGTAAAGAATCGTTCTGTGAACTTGAATATTTAAAAAAAAGAGAGAAATTCAGTATTTTTATTTTAAAATGATTTAGCATTTTCAGCTTGTGTTTCACTTTGTAAGATTTTTGGCATTGCTGTGATTTCATTTTTAATTGCAATTAGTGAAATAGTTTTAACTCACACATTCTGCATTTGCAAAAGACAATCTGATTTTAATAAATGCATAATTCAATTCAGTTCAAATTCAAAAATACTTATTGATACCAGAGGTAAAAGAGATGTAGTAAGTCATTTAACTAAATACCTATTGATAATAGACATAATAGATACATGTTTCCTTATTACTTTGAAATATATGTGTCGTCACACAAAACAATAAATGCAATTAAATTTTGAAGACAGTTCTTCTTGCTGTTCTTTGTGGCACTTCACATCAAAGTGAGAATTAAGCCAAAGTTGGTCAAAATGAGGGATACACGTTTTCAGATTCCATCATTTTAAGCTACATTTTAACACCTGGATCATGTGCAGTTCCAGAGATATGACTTGATTTGTCTTTCTAATTACAATAATCCATTGATAATTGGTCTGAATCTTATTTTGAGGTTAGGTTAATGAGGGAATTTTTAATGTCATTATAGAGAGGAAACCACAAACAATATTTGGATATTAAGATTTACAGCTGGAAAGAAAAAAAGACTTTGCTAGCTCGCATGAAAAATATAAAAAAGGAAAGGCTTTTCTGCTCAAACTCATGTTTTTGTAGCCAATACTAATAAAATAATGATGATGCATCTGTCTTTTTTATATTATTCATTCACATTCACTTCAAACAAATTATTTGAAATTATATTTTATACATTTCTTTTCAACAATTCATTATATTTTAACAAAATGCAATTGTTGCAACCATTTTAACCAAAACGCTATATTTGCCTATTTCTCCACATAACACTTTGGGACTTAACCTTGGGTTTGAATCGGTGGATCGCATTTATATTCTGATGTTTGAGAAGTGTGTAAAGAGTTAGAATAAGATGAGGTCCTCGATCCTCCCACAGCAAGCTCTGTATATGAAAAAGCAGCAAAAGAAGAGAGCCCACAACCAAATGGTGGTGACCAACTGGGATACTCGCCAAAGGAACCGAAAACACAAAGCTGAAAAGTGTGACGAGACGCCTCTGCTGAACTGTCAGTCCCTGAGCAGCACCTCTCTGAGTGGTTAGTGTGTGAATAATCCGTTTCCATAAACCTAACGCAGGGGAACTCTGACAAACTGAAGTTCTGTCCTCTTTCTTTTTAAAAGATCAAGTTGAACATGCCCACGACAACCCGCTGGACGAGATCACGCTGGGGGAGGGSGACGTGACGACAGCCGTGGCGGCAGAGAGGATGTCCCAGGAGAAACCTGGTACTCCTAAGACCATGAACTTAGAGGTCGACAGAGAGCCTGAGGAGGACCGTGAAGGAGAGAAAAGGGCCTCCATGAAAGAAAAAAAGACAAAAGAAGTGGTGAAAAAAGAAAAAAACAAATGTAAGAATCTTATAAACCAGCTGTGTTTAACGTGTTCTCTGTCATGCAGAACTAGAAAAGCATCATAATAGTACAGATAATACAGCCCAGTAAGTACCTGGTACATACAAATAGAGGTTATGTATCAGGCAGTGTTGTATAAAGTACCAAAAAGTGATACTTGATTAAAAGTACAAGTATCTTACCAAAAAATTATTTTGGTAAAAGTTAAAGTCTCCTTTAGGAATAGTTATGAGTAAAAGTTTTAAAGTATCTGATTTTTTTGTACTTAAGTATTAAAAGTAAAAGTATTGATTTAAAA